ATATCCCAACCTCATTCTTCATGGAAATAGAAGAAGCAATCCAAAAATTTGTATGGAGCAATAAAGATCCTGAATAGCAAAAACGATCCTTAACAGAAAGAACAGCACTGGAGGAATATCAATTCCAAACTTCAAACTCTACTACAAAGCCATAGTAATCAAAACAGCTTGGTACTGGCACAAGAAGAGACCTGAGGACCAATGGAATAGAACTAAAGACCCAGAAATGAGTACACAGACCTATAGCCACCTAATCTTCCATAAGAGGGCTAAAAAAATAGAATGGAAGAAAGACAGCCTCTTCAGTAAATGGTGCTGGAAAAAATTGGTTAAACACCTGTAGAAAACTAAAGCTAGATCCCCAAATATCACCCTGAACCAGAATCAACTCTAAATGGATCAACGACCTCGGAGTCAAAGCAGACACTCTGAAAACATTACAGGAAGGAATATGAGAAACTCTAGGTCTCCTTGGCGCAGGCCGAAATTTTCTTAATAGAGACCCAGAAACACAATAAATCAAAAAAGGGTTGGACAAATGGGATTGCATGAAGCTGCAGCACTTCTGCATGGCAAATGACATAGCTAGCAAGATCAAGAGAAAGCCCACGGATTGGGAGAAGATCTTTACTAGTCATACAACAGACAAGGGTCTCATATCTAAAATACACTTAGAACTCAAAAACTAAATCCCTCAACAACAAATCCTCAAAGTAACAACCGCAATTTATAAGTGGGCTAAAAACTTAAAGGGAGATTTCTCTGAAGAGGAAATAAGAATGGCCAATAGACACATGAAGAAATGCTCAGCTTCTCTAGCTATAAAAGAAATGCAAATCAAAACAACGTTGAGATTCCACCTCACCCCAAGTAGAATGGCTATAGTCAAGAACTCTAATAACAACAGATACTGGAGGGGATGTGGACAGAAGGGAACATTACTGCATTATTGGTGGGACTGTAAACTTGTTCAACTACTCTGGAAAGCAGTATGGAGGTTCCTCAAAAGACTTCACACAGAGTTCCCTAGGACCCAGCAATCCCACTTCTGGGCACTTACCCAAAGGATAACAACAACAACAAAAAAAGCCATACTAAAGCTACCAGCACAGCTATGTTTATTGCAGCATTATTAGTCATAGCTAAGATATGGAACCGACCTAGATGCCCCTAAGTAGATGAATGGATCAAGAAAATATGAGATAGTTACACACACACACACACACACACACACACACTGGAAATCTATGCCTCCATCAGAAAGAATGACACTGCCCCATTTGTTAGGAAATGGAAAGACTTGGAAAAAATTATATTATGTGAAGTAAGCCAGACTCAAAGAAACATAGGTCCCATAGTTTCCCTTATCTGCAATAACTAGTATATGTCTAGGACAAGCAGAAGTCAAAAGCTATGTACATAAGACCATATAACCTGATCCTAAGCGAAATGAACCCCAAGATAGAGACACAAGAGGTTTTATCTTTTTTGCTATTTTTTATTGTACTTATATGTGATTTTTTTTGTTTCTTTTGTATGTTCTTCCCCCATGGTACAACCTCTGTTTTCACTATATTTGATTCTGCTGCCCTGCATCTTGTAAATACATTTTTCTACATAATGCATATTTATGCACAAAAATACATTTTTCTAATTTGGGGAGGGGAAGGGAAATAACAAAATGCTTAAATAAGGATACTGGATGACCCATTGTAACAATGAGATGTACAAGACACTATGTTGAAAATGAACTTTACAACTTTGCGGGGGGAGGGGGAGGGAAGGTGGGGAGTAAAGGGATGGTAGGGGGAAAATAAAGGAGGGTGTAACAAGGCTTGATAGAAAATGGACTCATTACCTTGATCATGTAATTGCAACCCCTCCATATCCCTCCATACAGTATCTTTATAATAAGTAAATATATAAAGAAAAAAAGTAGCTAGAAAAATTTCCCAGGCAGCTGCACAAATGTCTCCAGCTGTAAAAAGAGAGGGAGAATGGAAAAGGCACAAAGTAATTGCAAGCTAGCTATAGAGACAAAGAACAAGCAAGTGTTACTTGGGTTAGTAAGAAAGAGACACAGGGCTGGGAAGGTGGCTCAGTGGTAGAGCACTTGCCTTGCATGCCTGAGGCCCTGGGTTCAATTCCTCAGCACCACATAAGCAAAAAGAAAAAAGCCGGAAGTGGCACTGTGGCTCAAATGGTAGAGTGCTAGCCTTGAGCTGAAGAGCTGAGGGACAGTGCCCAGGCCCAGAGTTCAGGCCCCATGACCCGGACCCCCCAAAAATAAATAAATAAAATAGACACATTTCAGTTACAGAATAATGTATTAAATAATCAAAGACCAAGAATTTCCTGTGAATACCAGTAAGAGTCCTGACAAAAAGTAGCAGATATTTTTTACCACTTGAGCCACAGCTCTACTTCCAGAGTTTTAGTATTTTATTGGTGATAAGAGTCTCATAAACTTTCCTGCCTGGGCTGGCTTCCAGCAATGATTCTCAGATCTCAGCCTCCTGACTAGCTAGGATTATAAGCATGAGCCACTGGCACCCAACTTATATAGTAACTATGTTTATAACAAATATGTCAATATTATCTCTTCCCATCCCCTTCTCTCCCTTCCACTCCTGTCCCATTTTCTTCTCCCCCATATATTCCCACACAAATAATCTCTCCAATCTCTTTTGTTTTGCATCTCTTGTGTCTCTCCTTTTTTCTCCTTTCCTTTTTCAGCACATCCCCTCCCCACCCCCAACCTCCTATTTCTATCCTTCTCTTCCCCCTCTCTGCCATTTCCACTCCACTTTCTTTCAGTCAAGATTTTGGTACCTAAAAAAGAAAAATATGGAAACATGCTCTCTTTTTTCTAAGTTGATTTGTCTATACAAAATAATACATGAAGCGTTATGATTTGAGAGTGTGTAAAATACTGTTCAATTTTTTACCTACTAAATAGAATTATTCATCTGTGTTTGCTCCATATTGCTATATTTATTTCCTATCCCTTCTGCAGCAAATCATAAACACACAGGAATTTATTATCTTACAGTTCTGAAGGTTATAAGTCTGAAATGAGTTATTAGGCTAATTCAGTTGCTAGACCAAAATCAAGCTGTTGTAGAACTGAATTAGAGGTTCTGGTGATGATTTCTTTCCTTGTTAGTTCCCAGCTTCTAGAGGTTGTCCATATTACTTGGTTGGGGGCACCTTCCTCAAAGCTAGCAACAGCAGCGGAGTTTTCCCATAACACATCCCTCTCCCTCTGCTTTGCTCCCTGGTTTACACCTAACAATCCTGGCAATTACAGTGTACTACCCAGTAATTCCAGACAATCTCTTAAGGACAGCTAATGAGTGTGATTCCATCTTTAACCTTAACTCTCTTTCATCCTATAGCGTGACATGTTGGCAGGTTCTCAGGATTAGAATCCATACGTGCTGGGGCATTCGTCTGTCCACTTCAATTGCTTAACAACAGCTGGAAGCAGTAACCGTTTATTTGTTTGTGCCCGCCCTGGGCCTTGAACTTGGGGCCTAGATGCTGTACCTGAGCTTTGTGTCACGGCTAGCGCTCTACCACTTGAACTACAGCTCCACTTCTGGCTTTTTGGTGGTTAATCAGAAATAATTATCTCATGGGGTTTTCTTTCCCTGGCTGACTTCAAACCGCAATTCTTAGATATTACCCTCTTGAGTAGCTAGAATTATAAGCATGAGACACCACTGGTGCCCAGCTAGTAGTAAAAGTTTTAATGACAAATGATTGTCATGGTATATGGTATGATTCTAAAGGGAAAAATTATTCGGAGCTCTTAAGTTAACTAATATTTTTACATTTTTATTTTGTTTTTGTGCCCTTTCTTATCCAGAATCTGAGACAACTAATATGGTATGAAACCAGGGATATTTAAATTCAAACATGAAAATAGTTAAGGCAAGAAAATGTCAAATTCCCACCCCAACATGGGAGGAAAGTAATAGCTAGAAACTGAGATAGCAGCGCTTGGTGTGGTGATGCACACCCATAATCCCAGCATTTGGAAGCTGAGGCAGGAAGATCACAAACTCAAGGCCAGTCTGGGTTACATAGAGTGACATATTATGCTATTTGTTAAGAAATGGAAAGACCTGGGAAAAATTATATTAAGTAAGTTAGGCCCCGAGAGACAGAGGATGAATGTTTTCCCTTCTATGTGGAAGCTAGATTTAGCTTATAAACTTTTAAATAAATACATTGGGTAGTATGCAAGTGTGTACGAAGGTGTTAACTGAAATACTGTAGATTCAAAGGAGACCTCAATTAGTGTAATTTGTTAGAAAGGCAAAGTCAAAGTTCAGCAAAGTAAAACACCAGGACACAGATACACAAAAGGGGTGGACTGGGGTCAAAGGGAAAAGGGTAGAGAAGAGGGCAAGAATTCAGTAAAGAATCCAGTGTAGCCAAGCACAGGTAGCTCATGCCTATAATCCTATTTAGGAGGCTGAGATGTAAGAATGGTGGTTCAAAGCCAAACTGTTCAGGAAAGTCCATGAGACTCTTATCTGCACTTTAACATCAAAAAGCTGGAAGTGGGGCTGTGGCTCAAGTGGTAGAGGGCTAGTCTTGAATACAGCAAGTTCAGAGACAGCGCCCAGGCCCTGAGTTCAAGCCCCAGGACTGGCACAAAAAAATAAATAAATAAAAATAATTTAATGTGCATCCTACAAAATTAAGAAGAGCGAATGAAGGGCAATATGGGGAGGGAAGAATAAGAATGTTGAAAGGGGAGACATTGATCAAGAAGCACTGCATTCATTAACTGCTTTGTTAAAATGCTAACTCCTTTCCCCGTTCAATAAGTTAAAAAAGTAACACCTCCTTTGTACAACTACTTAAAGATAAAAAACAAACAAACAAATAAATGGAAAGGAAAGGAGAAGTAAGGAGATAAGAAGAGAAAAAAAAATTGAGCTAGCAAAATGTGGACGTGTGGTTAGTGGGGGGTTAAAGTACGGAACCTGCACAGCCCGGCCTCCCAGGGACCGATCCAGCTGAACAGTGAGGAACGCAGACGTGGTCAGCTCATCTCTTGTGGCATTGGCTCCTTGCCTAGAGGAAGAACAGGAAAGTCAATGAGCTGTACTCGTGTTTTAAGATTTTCTCACATAAGCATTTCAAAAAGAGACTTACGTTAGGATAGGTCAAGACCAAACCAACTTAAACTTGGGAAGAGGAAAGAATATTGAACCAGGCTAGAGTCAGCCTCTGAGACACGGTGAGAAGATCCAGAGCTAAGCACTGAAATTGGGTCTAATAATGACATCAGTACTGCCTCTTCCCATCTCCTTTTCTCCCTCCCCATCCTGTCCTGTCTCCTTCTTCCTAACTTCTCACACACACAGATACACACACACACACACACTCTCTCTCTCTCTCTCAAACTCTTTCCCATCCCTTTTCTTCCTCTGCTCCCTTATCTCCCCTTCTTTCTCTTTTCCTTTTCTCCCCCCTTCATTTCTGTCCTTTTCTTCCCCTTCTCTGCTCCTTGCTTGCCACAGCACTAACACAGAGTCCTGAATTCTTTTGCTCATTTTTTCTAAAAGCATCTGTGGTAGTCATTTTAGTCTCTCTTACTAAACAAAAAATAAGTAAATAAAATTAGGACTTAGCTCCTTACCTAACTTTGCTAAGTAATAATCATTGCTGTCTGACTCTAAGATGAAACTGCTCATTTTAGAACAACCAATCCTATAATAAAAATGATCTAAGTAGTACATGCATGCTACACAAGTCTCACCCGGGTGATTACAGGATGATTCGACCCCAGACTGCATGCATTTTAGTGATTGGCAACATAATCTAGGCCCTGTGAAACTTGAACTCTTGTGGGAGAGGTAAACTCACCAAGTGTAGATGATCTGTCCTCGGGGATAAGTGTAGAGGATAATGTAGCAGTCACCGCCATAGAATTCACCATAGGAATTTTGGTCAATTTGGACCCTACCATTGTTTTCCACACGCCAAATCTGAAAGAAATAGAGCAGACATGCAATAGTAACATTTTCCAGAATACTACTTCTCATAGGCCTAACGACTTTTAGTGCAACCGTATGCTTAAACAACTGCCAGGTAATTTTTGGAACTTGTTTGCAAATCAAGTAAAGGAAGAAGATTGACCAATCTGACAGCTTGTTGACTTCTTAAGTTCTTCTGTGTTTCGGTTTTGGTTCATTTGCTTCTCCACATATTGCTTTTTCAATATTTATCTCAGTTCTGTGTTGATAAATAAATATCTATGATTTGATCAGCTGGCAAGGAAAGCATAACATTCTGGTGACATAAAAGACTGCAGGGCTGGGAAGGTGGCTCAGTGGTAGAGCGCTTGCTTTGCATGCATGAGGCTCTGGGTTCGATTCCTCAGCACCACATAAGCAGAAAAAGCCAGAAGTGGTGCTGTGGCTCAAGTGGTAGAGTGCTAGCCTTGAGCTGAAGAGCTGAGAGACAGCGCCCAGACCAAGAAAGGAAGAAAGAAATACTGCAATATTTAGTGCAGAAATATATGTGTGTATGTAAAATAGTTGCATCACTTGTGTAATTTTTTTCTTCTCTGTGCTTTAAGACATGAGAGGCTGTTTTTCTAAGACGAGGAGCTGATAGATCTTGACAATAATAGCATAGCACTCAAGGAACTCAGTGCTTGTGTCCTGCTCATAACTCATGTTGAACCCAAATTCCCAATGTGATTTCTCAGAGGTGGGGGCCTTTGAGAGGAGAGTAAGCCATAAGGATGAACATAGACCTCTGATTCCTTATAAAAAGAGATCCTAGAGAGCTATCTAACTCCCCCCAACCTAGGAGAATAGAAGCTAAAAACAACTGCCTGTGAACCAAGAAAAGACGCCGAGAAAATACTGAATCCAAAATGCTTGTTGTTTAAGCCCCCAGTGTTGATTATTTTTGTTATAGCAGCCAGAGACAGATGTTAACAGCCTGACTACTGCTCTCAAAAGGAGCCATCTAGGTATAAACCTAAAAAGCAATGATGAGAATAAAAAGAGCCACGCCATCTCTCCTGCTACCTCCCTCCTTATCTTTATCACTGACTGAAAACGGAGAGATGAGAGTTGTAGATCAAAGAAGAGAGTGACCCGTGGTCAAAATCCTGTTGAACTCAGGTCCTGGGAGGAGCTGGGCATCACTCAGCCACGAGATACACAGTAGGCATTGGGGAGACAGTGCAGTGTTTTCTTGAAAGGAGTCGGAAGCACAGCCTCATCAAGCCTAAGAACCGAAAGACAGCCACTGGGTATCAGCAGTGCCACAGGAGGACATTCTAAGAAGCTGTGGCCTGAGATGGAAATGGCGCCTGAGACCAGGCTAAGGCTGGTGTAGCAAGTTCCCACCAGCCATGTTGTTTGTGCTGCGCTTCAGAGAGGCCATTGTCTGAGCAGGAAACAGCCCTAGCCCCACAAGCTAGCACCCCTTTCATGACGCCATGAGGGTCATCTGTAGTCTTCTCCCTTATCCTCTCCCATTCCCCTGCCCTGTACAACTTAGATTCACTCTCGATTTCCTGGAAAACATGAAGAATTAGACTCCAAATTTCCGTACTAGATGGTTTGGTGCCAGCCTTGTAGTTGAACCCTATGAATGCAGACCTGAAATAGTTCATGCTTGTCCTGGAGGGACTTGTCAGTGGTCTGGGAGCAATCTGTAAGTCAATGAACAAATTCTGTGGCACTTCGGAGGGAAAACAGGTGATAACTGTCACTTGGGAGTTGAGCACTGAGGAAAGTCAAGGGAAGGCTTCTCAGAAAAGGAGCAGCATGTGATTTAGACTGAGTTGCAGAGGAAAGGGATGAATGTCAGTCAGATGGTGGAGGGAGGCCTGGGGAACCTTAGTCAGATGGTGAGGGGAGGAGTCAGCCCTCAAGGCGCTGGGTGAGGCCCGAAGAGAGCAAGAGTCAGCTCACTAAGGTCCAGTCAACAATGGATGTCTTTAGGAAGACTGGAGAGCCATGAAAGTATTTTGGAAAGGAAATGACATCCTCCAGTTCTGGTTAAGTTAGACCATCAAAGTGCAGACTGAGTATGAAAAGATAAGAGTTATGATGATTAGGACTATGTTAATCTCAAATCATCAACAAACTGAATTCAAATGCTCTAAACACACCTGGTTTTAGCCCATGCACATGCTCAGTTTGCTTTCACGGATGCGTGCAATGTGTGGAGGAAAAGAAAAAATGATGCTAATTGGTACATTCATAGCGACAGCTTCACTAGACAACCCCAGATTCAGGCTGCTGGGAGAATGAGCTATTGTAGACCAGGAGCCAAGATGGCTCCGTGCCATGTCACTAATAATGAAGGGATCTTGCACAGAGCACCTCCCTTCTCAGGATCTAGATGTGCAGTGTATAAAGTGGGTAGCTATGATCAGACAGCATCTCACCCAGCTTTGCCTTCCATGACTTAATAATATACAACTTGGGACCATCTTTATTGCTAAGTAAAAGTCACCTTTTGGAATATTTGCTATTTCCCTAAGTTATATTCCCACCCATCCTGGCATAAATGAGCTACATAAAAAAAAAAAAAACCAGGCATGTCAAATACCTCCACTTTGCCTGAACCGTCATCCACCATGCTGTGCTTGGCTGCCATCTGCGGGGACGTGTGCAATTTTGAGGCATCGAATGAAATCTGTTGTATTTGAGCCACTTTCTCGGTGACATAAACTTTCCCGAATCCTTCACTCTGATCTTTATCTTTCCAATCCCGAAAGAACTGTTTGAACAGGGGTGTTTCACCTCCTTCTGGAAGAACCTGAATCTGAAATATTAAATCATAATAAATAGGATAATAAGAGGATCCAGGAAAGACATTAGTAGTGGAGAAAGAACTAAAGACATGGAAATATTGTCCTCGCTCTTCTGTGATTACAGATGTAAATTTAGCAGCAAGTAAAGATAAAATAATCCACTTAGGCTTTTTGTCACAACTAAAGCAGCCACCACTGATCACGAAATGTCAGAGAATATGTTCTTTTATATGTTACCCCTGTAGACAAATAAGTTTTTCTACACTGAATTCATCAGACACCTGTGAGTTGGAAAGAATTACTTCATGTGGTGCTCTTTGTGGAAGGACAGGAAAAAATGAAGATAGTAAATGAAGGTGAAAGTTTCAAAAAGGAAAAAAAAGTAATTAGCCAGTGTCTTAATGATCTCAATGAAGACAAGTATTATCTGAGAATTAGCCAGCTAAGATCACACAACTTGCTCTGAGGAATATATGGTTCAATCAACTGTGGTTTGGTATCTTGAAGAAATGGCTGCAGAAGAAATGGGCTCTGACTGACCATGCAGCCTTATAGAAGGTCTGATCTCCAGACAAATGAGCTAGGATTGTGCATGCTCATATGGAGAGTAACCACACACACACACACACACACACACACACACACACACACACACACAGAGATTGTATTGGAGCAAACTTTTCATGAGTTCTATGAAGATGCCATGATTCCCGTGTGTGTGCATGCGTGTGTATGTGTGTGTGTGTGTGTGTGTGTGTGTGTGTTAGCCCATTCATTTTCATACATACTTGGGTATGGGTGGAATAGTTCATTTGCTGTAGAAAGTCTTCCGCTGTCTTCATTGCAGCCTTCCTCTCTTGGGGATTAGCATCTTTACCTAAAATAAAAGTTAAAGAGACACAAATTTTCAGAGAGAGAAGCCATATGATGAAATATTTGAGCTGAGCCCCAGCAGCTCACATTTGTCATCTTGCCACTCAGGAGGCCAAGATCTGAGGATCAATGTTCAAAGCCAACCCAGGCAGAAAAGTTTACAAGATCTCATCTTTTATTAATCAGCAAAATGCTGGACTGGAGGCATGGCTTAAGTGTAGAGTGCCAGCTATGTGCAAGAAAAAGGGGAGCTCAAGGCTCTGAGTTTAAGCCCCAGCACCAGCAAAACAAAAAAAAATATTTGCACTCCAAAATGGAAACAAGATCATAATTTAAATATAGCAACATAAAAATGGAAAATATTACTAATAAATTAAGTGTGATAAATAACAATAATGGACAATAGTCTTTGATATTGCCCAAATGCTTTCTTTATGTCTATAGTTTCTGGTAAATGATGCAAGTAAGAAGAATATGGTTGCATTTTTAGGTGAGATATTTATAGATCATATCTTAAAAGGCAGGCTTTACTTTTAAATAAAAATAAACACTCTCTTTACCCTACCAAGAAATACCCACTAATCTGAAATGCAGCAACAATATCAATGATATCATTTACCTTTCCATACAAAAATTTGTTTTGCAGCACCATGGTCCAAAATAAAGCATTCTTCAGAAAGCAGCATAGCCATGGAGAAGGGGTTTTCCTCAGCCACCACTGTCACGCTCATGGATCCACTTGCATCTGAAACCTAACAAAATCCGTGAGCTCCACCATTGCACTTTGGGAGCTGTAAATGTTCTAAAATTACACTGTGGAGATTACTACCCAATTCTATAATGGTATTCATTGCAATCTAAGTTCAAGAATGTGATTTTTATAATATATACCTCAACAACACAATTTTAAAGCAAACAGACAAAGCATACATGAGCCAAGCTCATTCACCTTTGGGGGGAAATGAACTATTAATTAAAATGTAAACTTTAACATTGTTATTAAAATATCTGAAAATAGGGGCTGGGAAAGGTGGCTCAGTGGTAGAGCGCTTGCCTTGCATGCCTGAGGCCCTGGGTTCGATTCCTCAGCACCACATAAGCAAAAAGAAAAAAGCTGGAAGTGGCGCTGTGGCTCAAGGGGTAGAGCACTAGTCTTGAGCTGAAGAGCTGAGGGACAGCGCCCAGGCCCAGAATTCAGGCCCCACGACCGGACCCCCCAAAAAAATCTGAAAATAATGGCCCTAATTACAAGGCTTACAGTTTGGTGAGATGCTCACACATGGTGAGTTTTACCTCATCATTTCTGCTAAAGTTGAGAGCAACTTTGACGGTGGGTGATAACGGTACATCCATGTATACACAAAATCTGGAGTGTGACTATTCACCCAGATAATTGTTCCAGATAAACCTCTTGTGTGACAGGCACTATATGAAGGAAGACATTGGTATTGTATTTTATGCTTATAGGTATTTTTCAATGTTGGCCTTGTAACTTAACTCTATATGGTGAAACTTATCAAAGTAAATTTCTTGGTCACATTTGGAAGAACCTTTAAAAATTTTTCAGGTGATCTTAGTTGAAAGGGATATTTGTTTGCCAACTAAAATACATTGATTTTCAAAAGTCAGCTTGTCAGTTAACGTGTTGGCTGAGCCACTTGATTCTAGGATCTTCCTAAATCATGATGGAGGTTTTCAGCACAATGCCAAGTTATGCATTAAAAAACAAGAAAACAAAAAGCACCCTGGTGATTCTTCAAATCTTTTTTCATTACCTTTAAATAGTTCTACAAAGGAGTGTCAATTCAACATATCAGTTTATGAGTATATTCCATCACTTCTCCATCATTCTTTGAGTCTTTTATTTTTTGTTAAGGCCTGGAAGGTACATTTTAATTTTTAAAAAGAATTAACATTTTCTTGAGGGTTGATACCCTTTTAGAGCATTCTAAAAATCTGAAGGACAGGAGAAGGGAAAAAATAAATTGTTTAAATAGGGATACAGGTGGATGCATTGCAACAATGAGATGTACAAGTCGTTATGTGGAAAAACAAACTTTACAACTTTGGTGGGGGGGGATTGGGAGGGGTGCGGTAGGATGGGAAGGGATGGGAAGGGGAAACAAAGGAGGAGGCTACAATGCTCGATAAGAAATGTATTTGAGTCTTTTTTTAACCCTCAAATTACCTTGAAACATTTTCTATTTTAGACTGGGCAATATGTTATAGTTCCACTAGAGGGAGCCAAAACTCAGGATTAACACTTTCCCATTCAAAAGTATTTATTTAATCCAAAACAGTTTTGATTGATGATTTGAAGTAAACAATATTTTAGGCTGTTTTAGAGATAATAATAAAACCACAAGATACATAAATAAAACTATATATTTCATGTTAAAATTATCAGTATTTACCGGAAAAGACAGCCATGTTTTCCTTTGCAATCTAGGAAGGAAAGAACACTTCCCCATTTATAAATGGGAAGTTAGGCTACACAAGTTTCTATTTCTAACTCAAGCTTCATTTAAAACTATAAGGTTGTCGGTTATAAAGCCTCTGAAAGAGCAACAAGTACCATCTGCTCCCAATCACTTGCTTACAAAGTTGTAAGGGAGGAACAATTGAAGAATTCCATTCTAGCAGTCTCCTTAACTTGCATACCTTGTGGGTTTTGTTACCCTTACCAGCAATTAAAAATAAAATCCTAAGCTGGGCAATGGTGGCTCATGCCTGTAATCCTAGCTACTCAGGAGAATGAGATCTCAGAATCACGATGGGAAGCCAGCCTGGGCAAGAAGTCTTTTTTTTTTTTAATTTTATTTTATTTGTGAACATACTGTACAGAGGGGTTACAATTGCATGGGCAGGATAATGCGTACATTTTGGGCAAGAAGTCTTTGAGACTCTTATCTCCAATTAACCACCAGAAAACCAGAACTGGAGCTATGGCTCAAAGTGGTAGAGCACTAGTCTTGAGCAGAAAAGTTCAGAGATAGTGCCTCTGAGTTCAAGCTCGAGGACCAGCACTAAGAACATTTAAATAAAATAATAAAATCATATAGTTGGGAGAAACCTTATTCAGTTCTGTCTCTCTCTAACACTCTCTCTTCCCTCCCTTCTTCCATTTCCCTCTCTCTTCCTTCCCCTCCCTTCCTCTCTGTCTGTCTCTCCCTCTCTTCCTCTCTCCCTTTTTTCCTCCTTCCCTCCCTCTCTAGTCATGGTCATGGCCTGTCAACTTCACAAGGCCAGTCCGGACCATATTGCTACACACTGACACACAGACTGGTTTTACCTTGCTTTACCCTGATTGGTATGAGAGCTTACCACACTGTCACACACACACACACACAATGCCTTTATTTTGGCAAAGAAAATATTTTAAAGAAGGCAAAGATTGTTATCATCATAACAAGAAATTACAAGAAAAAGCTTACGTTTTATACTGTTTGTTCACTACAATAGATCAAAACACATTATTGCCAACTAGTAGAGTTAACAGTACATAGTTGTATGTAAGTCATGTCCATAACTTCATTTAGCTGTTTTGAATGAGATAACAAAAAATGTTTTTAATCAATTCAGAAGAACAAAGAAATGGATTCTACCTGCACACTATTAGGCACTAACGAGAGCTATGCACCACAGCAAAGGCCATCCTTCCAATATAGCCTCCTGGACCACAGCCTATCCTGCAGAAATGCCCCAAGCCCTTTGTAGCCCACTTACCATGTACAGTTTTGCCATCTTCCTGTTCGTCATATCTGCTATGGTGTCATCATCACTGTCTCCATCTGGAAGCTGTGGCTTTCTCCCTAAAACCTGGGCAGGGGGGAGAGGGTTAGGACGGTGGAAGTAAGTATCAAAAATGTCCTGTCCTTAAAGGTTAAAGAACTTTTAACAAATAGTAAACCATTTTACATTTATATGGCCACCAATTATAAGACACAATTAAAACTGTGTGGCTCTTTCTTATTAATAGGTGGGCCTTTACTCATGCATCACATCAGCCAATGGCAGAGCTGATGGCAAATTACCAATGGCACCAGCTCTGCCATCCCTATGAATTTTCAAGAAGGCCAGACCCCAAATGTGGAACTTCGGGCATCCATCTTTTTCTTTAAAATACAAGGAATTAATTTGGATCAACAACACCATTATTTTATCTGTTCCCTCTGGTTCTAGAATTAATCCATAGTTTTCAATCAATCAGTATCACAAAGACTTGGACTAAAATGACTATTTTGAGGACAAAACGTTATCATTATAGAATAGATGAAGTACAAGTTGTTTTTTTTTTTCCACAAATAGGCCTATTGTCACTATTAAAACTCTGAATGTTAAATGGATTCTTGGACTGGTGGTTCAGATCCATCAATTCACTCAACTTTAGCACCAGTCTCGTCCCCAGTAGCTTTCCCCAAACTGCCCCCTTCACCATGAAGCTCCATGAGTTTTCCCAATTCCAACTGGGGCTTCTTCAGCATTTTTACTTTTCCAACAAAGACATCATGAAGTGGATAAATAGACTGGTAAGCTTTGTCTATGTCTTTCCCCAAGGCTGATTGGAATCAGTTTATTTGTCTGCACTTCTCAGATCATGATTTCTATCATCTTCTGGATCAAGTAGATCTGCTGATGCTGAGCCTAGGAAGTCTTGCAGGTCTGACGGTTATGGTTTTTAGTAAAACCAACACAGAACAGACAAAGCAAATAACCTTCAATAGTCTCGACATCAACATGGGCTTCAATCGTGGTCTGCCACTTTTTGACCATGGAGCACATTTTGCTCAGGTGATATCGATGCCATGGAAGTTAGTTAGGCAGCTCTTTCCCTGAACATCCTCAGTTATTAGCTTGATTTTTTTTTAATGCGACTTCATCATTCTGCAGATCAGCGTCAGATACCCAACCCTTGAGGCCATCAGATGTGATATTGGTTCCTTGAGTCCTCGTGACTAGTGTTTTCCTAATATATCTCGTATTGAATATGGTCAGTGCTTCTTTCTTAGAAAATGGACCCATCTTCTTAGCTCCCTTTTGTAAGGCACTTGTTCTTGCCAACCACTATAGTGATGGTCAGAGCACCAAAAGGGGAAGTACCAGTTTATAATGACCATAAGCATGTTTGCTTTCCTGCTGCGTCTTCGGCACTTAGAGCAGGGCATTCGACAAGGTAACTGCTCTACAAGTATTTGTCAAATGAATGAATGAAGTTATCTATTTTGCGCATGTGTGATGAGACCCAAAAAGTAGAAAGTACATTTGAATATACTTTTGAACTTTTTATATTAAAATCATAAAACTTCTGTAAGTAGTTCAGCTAATTTATTAAACTAAATGACATGAGGGTTTGAATTCAGGATCTCATCCTTGCGAAGCAGATGCTCTACCACATGAGCTGCTCCGCCACCTCCTTTTAGTGTTACTTATTTTCAAGATAGGGTCTTGCTTCATGCCTGGTCCAGCCTGGACTACAGTCCTCCTATTTGTGTGTTCCTGTTTTGCAGGGATGACAGAAGAATGTCACTGTGCACAAACATTTAAAGATGGAGGTTCATGAGCTTTTTATGCCCAACTTGGTTTTAGACCTCTTTCCTTCAGTTCTTTCTTATGGCTAGGATTATAGGCTTGTGCCATTATATCTGAACATTAATGTGATTTTTATAATAATATAAATTCAACTAGAAAATAAAAGGATAAAGTATTTCTTGAGATCCAATGAATATTTAAGAACAGTGAACTCCTTGCAGAATCTTTTTTTATATTCAAATGCCCTGATACTCCATTGCATGAAAATATATGATGCTGAATATCAAACAATAATAAACCTCATAAACATACGTAAATCTAATCCTTTTGTGGGTACATCTTCAGTCTGGAGTTTGGAAATGCACCAGAGAACTTATTCTTAGAACTTGCTTGCTGGTCCCTCCCCCACAGTATAACCCCTGCTTTCACTGTATTTGATGTAGGTATAATTTGTGGAGGGGAAGGGGAAAAACAAATCATTTAAATAGGAATACAGGTGGACCCATTGCAATGATGAGATGTATAAGTTGTTATGTCGAAAACGAACTTTACAACTTTGGTGCGGGGTGGGGGGGGAGGTTTGGGTGGGGGAACGGGGGGAGGATGGGAAGGGATGGGAAGGGGAAACAAAGGAGGAGGCTACAATGTTTGATAAGAAGTGTACTCATTATCTTGCCCATGTAATTGTAACCCCTCTGTACAGTATTTTCACAATAAAAATAAAAAATAAAAAAAAGAACTTGCTTGCTGGGACATCATTTTTGTTTACATGGCGATCAAGAAAATCTCATAATTATCATACATGATTAGTGATTATAAGGTTTTTCCTTTTGGCTAAAAGTAGGATCATACCAAAAATGAAAATACTTGAAATCAAAAAGCTTTTTTCTTTTCTCTTCCTTCCTTTTCTTCTTTATCTCTTCCCTCTTCCTTCCTTCCTCTCTTTTTCTTTTTTGTGCAGGTCTTGGGGCTTGAATTCAGGGCTTGGGTGTTGTCTCTGAGCTTCTCTGCTCAAAGATAGCCCTCTACCACCTAAGCCATGGCTCCATTTCCAGAGCTGTCTCCTGGGCTTTCCTGCCCATGAAACATTAGAACTGCAATCCCATATCTTAGCCCCCTGAGAAGGATTACAAACCCAAGCCACCAGCACCTGGCCTTCCCCCCCCCCCCTGAGTTTTGTAATTGGTAGGTGTATGTATGTCTTTATAAGAGCCACCAAAAAAAATTCCATATATATCCTTTTGTACTCTGCTCCAACCAAGACAGTCATTTGGATTAAAGGTTTCAGGTTAAGGGCATACCTAGTACTGGACATCTCCCAGTGGACCAATCAAGTGTGGGACTTAGGGCACCTCTAACTTTTAATTTTCTGACAATTCTCACATTAGCCAGATATCTTAATTAGTCTCCCAATGGACTATAGCACAGCTGGGAATTGAGCCAATCCAACAAACTGTGCTTATTGAAAACAGGCTTAAACCCACAGAAGAAAAAAGCTAGTGTGTTGTCTTATATCTCTAAGGATCATTTTAAAATTCAGTTCAACAACTAAGCATTTACCAAGTACCTCACTGGGGAATATAAATGTGTTTCTGACTACCCTCCCTAACCCTTAAGGATTTCATATGCTTATTTAAAAGAATAATTGTGTTCATCTTATCAACATTTTGATTTTTTAAGGAGATTATTGATATACTTCTTTTACTTTACAGGTAAGGTTCATGCCTAAATTTGAAACATTTTTATTTTAGGTTGCCCATCTGATTAACATTTCCTTCTTGTAATCCTTGTGTAAGATATTTGTCAGAAATGACAAATATTTTCACAACGTAAAAAGATATGAAAACAAAATAGCTTTATTTCGGGTGTTCCTAAAAATTTCATCAATTGGGGCTGGGAAGGTGGCTCAGTGGTATAGTGCTTGCCTTGCATGCATGAGGCCCTGGGTTCGATTCCCCAGCACTACATAAGCAAAAAGGAAAAAAGTCGGAAGTGGCACCGTGGCTCAAGTGGTAGAGCACTAGCCTTGAGCTAAAGAGCTGAGGGATAGCACCCAGGCCCAGAGTTCAGGCCCAAACCGGACCCCCCCAAAAAAATTTCATCAATTGTTCCATCGAAGACCTGTTATTTAAGTTTTTAATTTTTTACTGTAATTTTCTATTTAAAGGTATCACATCTTTTAACATGTTCAAACTCAAACTTCTTTTTCTTCCTTTTGCGCCAGTACTGGGACTTGAACTCTTGCTTGGCTTTTCAGCTCAAAGCTGACACTCTACCACTTGAACCACATTTCCACTTTCAACATTTTGCTGGTTAGTTGGAGATAGATGTGAGTCTCACAGACTTTCCTGTGTAAGATGGTTTTGAACCTTGATCTCCTCATACCTCAGCCCCCGGAGTAGCTAGGATTATTGCCCTGAGCCACCAGTGCCCCAAGCCAAACTTACTTTCTTTTTTTATTTTTTTTTTGTGAACACACTGTACAGAGGAGTTACAATTACATGGGCAGGTTAATGCATACATTTCTTATCCAGCATTGCAGCCTCCTCCTTTGTTTACCCTTCACATCCCTTCCCAGCCTCCCCTCCCACCCAATCCTCCCCAATTCCCACCTCCTCCACTCCCCCTCACACCAACATTGTAAAGCTCGTTTTCCACATGACAACTTGTACTTCTCATTGTTGCAACAGGTTCAACTGTATCCTTAAACGACTTGTTTTTCCCCATCTCCTCTACAAGTTATACTGACATCAAATATAGTGAAAGCAGGGGTTATCCTGTGGGGGAGGGACATACAAAGCTACAAAGAGATAATCTTATAAATGCGTTAGAAACACATGCATGAAAGGAAAAAAACATTAAAATACATATCTAAGGGTTCATTTTCCTAACATCACATTATCTGACCTTTTCCGCTTGACTCATACATATACTAGATATTGCAAATAAGGGAAACCATGGGACCTATGTTTCTTTGGGCCTGGCTTACTTCACTTAATATAATTTTTTCCAAGTTTTTCCATTTCCTAACAAATGGGGCAATGTCATTCTTTCTGATGGAGGCATAGAACTCCATTGTGTATATATACCACATTTTCTTGATCCATTTATCTACTGAGGGGCATCTGGGCTGGTTCCATATCTTAGCTATGGTAAATAATGCTGCAATAAACATAGTTGTGCTGGTAGCTTTAGTGTGGTCTTGAAGATCTTCACTAGCCATACAACAGACAAGGGTCTCATATCTAAAATATAATTGGAACTCAAAAAATTAAATTCCCCAACAACAA